CCCTTGCGGAGTCACAGAATACGGATATCTACCGGTTACTTTAAGGTTCACCGAACGTTTTCTCACACTCATTTTTTTACATAACAACGATACCAATTTATCGTACTCCATTGTAAGCGGTAATTTTATATGACACTGTGGAGATAAACTATACCTCATAGAGTTATTCTCCGCAACAACCTCACCCCCCCCCCCTCCCCCAATATAATGAAACCCTTATTTTGGGCTCTTCAGACATTATAAAAAATGCTTGATAACAAGAAGAAAAGTTTGAACGGAAGTTAGAATATTTTTTGAATGGATTTTCATAAAATCCTAACGCCTTTAAATAAGGCAAGGCCTAGCTCGGGGGGCTGGATTTTCTGATGTAAAGCGGGGTATTACACCGCGCTATACCAGTTTGAATTATTGTAATGTCAGTTAACCGCAGGACACTTATTAGTGGGCCCACAAAAAAGGTATAGCGTTGTATAATACCGCGCTATATATGTTTGAATTACTGTTATGTCAGTTAACCGCAAGAGACTAATTGGTGGGCCCACAAACAAGTAAAATATGGTATTATACAACGCTATATATAACGTGGTATTATACCGCGCTATACTTTAACGGCAGAAACACCGTTAAAGTATAGCGCGGTATAATACCGCGTTATATATAGAAATGTAATTTTTTTTTTTAGCAGTAGAAACATATTTTGAGTCCAAAAACCCAACATTTAGGTTTCAGACTCTCTAATATTATAACGGAAAAAATATTTATTTGCAAAGGATGTTGGTCCCAAACGAATGAATACGAAATATATGTTTCATATAGAAAATTTTAGTACTTAATTATGGTAAATTAATATTGGTTTTTTATTTTAATTTATATCTTTTAAATATAGTAATTGTTTGATTTCATGTAAATATCAATTACAAATTAGTATCCTCTATATAGATACACAAAGTGAGATTATTTTGATAAGTATGATGATACTATTCGAAAACTAAACTTAGAAAGAAAATTTTATGTTTAAAGTCGTTACACGATTATACAACAACAGCAACAGTAATCGAGTAAAATCCTACAAGTGGGGTCTGGGAGGGTAGAGTGTACGCAAACCTTACTCCTACCCCAAGGAATAGAGAGGCTATTTCCGAAAGACTCTCATCTCAAGAAGATAAAAATAGACAATAGAATCTGTGACAACAAAAATATTATCTTTACACGAGTATGGATGATGGATTCTTGTATTTCGTAAAAGTCATGGAAAATTGTTGTTTAAATTAGTGCTTTGGTAGATATATTTTGAAATGTCTCCTAATCAAAAAAGTATCATATGAGTTGAAGTGAGGGAGTATGTATCTCCATTTGTCCTTATTTATTGTTTTTATTCTTTTCTAGTTTCTACCTTCAAGTGAATTTGTAAAGTACCTACCGGAGTCAAAAGATTGGAAATGAAATTGAGGAATACCTTTTTAAACTTCCAAATGGAGAACAAAAAATCAAACTCAAATAAGAAAGATTAAGATGAACAAATATCTAGTGAGATATTTTAGTTTGTCTCTTGTCATATCTAATGGTCGAATAAATATAATCGGTAGCCCAAGTGAATCATGAAAATAAAAGAGATTTTAATCAAAGATTTTCCATTTTCAATAAACCATAGGCTATATATACAATTTGACACATCCAGAAGGGAAATACATGCAATTTGACTTGATATTTTAGCAATTTTTTGGACTATAAGTCTCTGGGATCTAACATTATTTGCTCAAGCCTTGCAAAGTCGGTCTGAACTAGACCTGTTAATCGACCCGGCCTGACCCGTTTTCAACCTGCTTCGGCCCAGGTCAGCCCGGTTCAGCCTGTTACTGTAGCATACTGGGGCGGGCTGGGACGGGTTTGGCGGGGGCGAGTTTTAGACGAACACATTTTGAATATCGGTGCACCGAAACCTGCTAAGCCCGCTAACCCGTTAACGGGTTCTTAACGGGCTGCAACCCGGTATCCGTTACAATTTTTTTTTTTTAAATTTTGTGGATTGTTGCCAACGGTCAAATTCAGAAATGACCGTTGGGGAACGGCCAGATTTTGCACAAATGGCCATTTCGGCCTCCTCCATTAAAAAAATAGCCCTCCCACCCCTAATAATTGAAAAATTATATTTTAACCTTTTAAAAACTATAAATAGCCCCCCTTCTTTTTAATTTTTTCTCACAATTCACTCTCTTACTACTCTAATTCTCTCTCAATTCTCTTGATATTATTGATTATTGTTCTTAAAGTCTCAATTACTTATTATTTCAAGTTTCATCAAATATTTAGTTTAGCCATTACAAAATTATTATTATCAAATATCAAGTATTCAAGTGAAGTGTGGTATCAAGTACTATCAACTATCAAGTTTCGGTCTATCAATTGAAGTTTAATTTTTTATATCAAAATTAGTGCGGCATCCGGAATTCCGGTACACTCGTTCCCTCTCTTTCTCTTACTTTTATTATTTAGAATTATTAATTTTTACATAATGGATTTACTTAGAGCAGCCAAAAAAGCGTGCACTAGTAGAGGTAGTAAGAAAATTTCCAAAAGATCAAGAGGTGGTGTTGGTTCTTCTAGTAGCTTTACACATATTTCTGAAAGTTCACCTGAAAATTTAAATGTAGATTATGAGCGAATGCAAGAAAATTATGGTATAGATGATGATTTAGATGATATTTTAGATGATATTCAATCACCCGATAATCTTGAAACACCACCAGCTACACCTGGTAATGCTAGTCAAACTCAAAATATTAGGGGTGGAACAAGTAAGCCTCCCCTCCCTATTAAGAAGAATTGAAGATTACATATTGCCTATTGGTCTTAATTTTTTGTAGCCACTTACTTTTTAATTTCAATTTTAAAATTATAAAATTCAAATTTCAAATCTAAAACTTTAAAGTTTAAACTTCAAAGTTCAATTCTAAGCCTTAAAAGTTTGCAAACACTTAAATTTGGCCATGAGTTTTGCCAAAATAAATTTGTGATTTATTTTCAAAATTCATGTTTGGCCATAAATTTTGCCCACATTTTGGCCAAATCCCAAATCCCAAATTTCAAATCCCAAAATCAGCTATTGAGTTGATTTTGGGCCAAAACCCCAAAACTTGGGAATTATATACATATTTTTCCAAAATAAAGTTGGGAAATATGTTTTGAAAACGTATGTCCAAACACATTTTAATCTTCAAACCAAACTTCACCCAAATTAGATTTTTCAAAATAAATTTGGGATCTATGGCCAAACGCTAAGTATCAATAACATTGAATAAGAAAAATAAAATTTAATTATATATATATATATATATATATATATATATATATATATATATATATATATATATAT